CTCATCCTCCTCCGCCTCCTCCTCCTCCGCCTCCTCCTCCTCCTCTTCCTCCTCATCCCTCCCCCCTCCATCCATCCCTCCTCCATCCACCCCATCCATCCCGCCATTCCTCCCTCCCTCCCTCCCGCCCGCCCTCCCTCCGCCCTCCCTCCCACACTCCCTCCCTCCCTCCCTCCCCCGTTCCATCCTTCCCGCCCTCCCTCCCTCCCTCCTCCCTCACCCCTCACCCCTCCTCCCTCCTCCTCCTCCCTCCCTCCCTCCCTCCTCCCCTCGCAATCCCTCCTCCTTCCTCTCGCTTCCCCACCCTCCTCCCAACTCTCCCCTCCCTCCTCCTCCTTCCACCTCCTCCATCCCTCCTCCCTCCTCCCTCCGCCCTCCTCCCTCCCTCCTTCCTCTCTCCTCCGTACTTCCTCCTCCCACCTCCCTCCTCCCCCTCATTCCTCCCTCCCTCCTCACCCTCCCTCCCTCCTCCCTCCCGCCTCCCTCCTCCCTCCTCCCTCATCACTCTCTCCTCCCTCCTTCTCCCTCTTCCTCCTCCCTCCTCCATTTCCCACCTCCCTCCTCCTCATTCCACCCCCCCCTCCTCCGATCCCTCCCTCCCTCCCCCCGCCTCGCCGCCTCCCTCCTCCCTGCTCCTCCCCTCCTCCCGCCCCCCCTCCCTCTTCCTCCTCCCTCCTCTCGTCCTTCCTCCCTCTCCCTCCCCTCCCTCCCTCCTTCCCCATGCTCCCTCCTCATCCCACCTCCTCCCTCCTCCTCCTCTCCTCCTCCTCCTCGTCCTCCTCCTCCTCCTCCTCCTCGTATTCTTCTTATGTTATTCTTATTATTCGTCTTATCATTCTTATTATTATGCTTATTCTTATTATTATTATTCTTATTATTGTTCTTAGCATTCTTATTATTATTCTTCTTCTTATTATTAGTATTATTATTAGTATTATTCGTATTATTTGTCTTATTATTATTATTCTCCTTATTATTATTATTCTACTTAGTATTATTATTCGTATTATTCGTCTTCTTATTATTACTATTCTTCTTTTTCTTATTATTATTGTTATTCTTCTTCTTATTATTATTACTATTACTATTATTATTATTCTTATTAGTATGATTCGTCCTATTCTTATTATTATTGTTATTATTATTATTCGTATTCGTATTATTCTTCTTCTTATTATTAGTCTTCTTATTATTATTCTTATTCTTCTTATTATTATTACTATTATTAGTATTCTTAGTATTCGTATTATTCTTCTTCTTCTTATAATTCTGATTATTCTTCTTATTATTATTCTTCTTCTTATTCTTATTATTCTTCTTCGTCTTCGTATTATTCTTCTTCGTCTTCTTCGTATTCGTATTATTCTTATGGTTATTCTTATTATTATTCTTCTTATTCTTATCCTTATTATTAGTCTTAGTATTATTATTATTCGTCTTCTTCTTATTATTATTCTTAGTATTATTGTTATTATTCTTATTATGTTTATTAGTCTTCTTATTCGTCTTATTTTTCTTATTCGTCTTCTTCGTCTTCTTCTTCGTCTTCTTATTATTATTCTTATTATTCTTATTATTGTTCGTCTTCTTCTTCTTATTAGTATTCTTCTTCTCATTCTTATTATTATTCTTCTTATTATTATTATTATTATTCTTATTCTTCTTCTTATTACTATTATTATTATTATTATCCTCCGTCGTTTTCTTCTTCTTCTTCTTATTAATATTCGTCTTCTTCGTCGTCCTCCTCCTCCTCCTCCTCCTCCTCCTCCTCCTCCTCCTCCTCCTCCCCCTCTCCTCCTCCTCCTCCTCCTCCCTCCTCCTCCGCCTCCTCCTCTCCTCTCCTCCTCCTCTCCTCGCTCATCGTCATCATCCACATCATCAGCATTCCTCATCAGCAGCAGCGTTCAGCATCAGCATCAGCATAGCATCAGCATCAGCATCAGCATCATCAACAGCATCATCATCAGCATCATTCATCATCGCATCATCATCATCATCATCATCATCATCATCATCATCAGCATCATCATCATCATCATCATCATAATCAGCATCATCATCATCATCATCCATCATCATCATCATCATATCATCATCATCCATCATCATAGCATCATCATCCTCATCATCAGCATCATTCATCATCATCATCATCATCATCATCATCAACATCATCATCATCAGCATCATCATCATATCAGCAGCATCCCATCACCATCACCATCATCATCATCAGCATCAGCATCATCATCATCAGCATCATGAGCATCAGCATCAGCATCATCATCATCATCAGGCAGCAGCATCAGCACCAGCATAGTCATCAACATCAACATCAGCATCAGTATCATCAGCATCAGCAGCATCATCATCAGCATCATCAGCATCATCAGCATCGTTATCATCATGGCATCATCAGCATCAGCATCATCATCATCATCATCATCATCATCATCATCCGCATCATCATCATCATCATCATCATCATCATCACCATCATCATCATCATCATGATCATCATCATCATCATCAGCATCATCAAAACCATCAGCATCATCATCATCATCATCATCCTCATCCTCGTCCGCCGCATCCGCCGCATCATCAGCAGCAGCATCAGCATCATCTGCATCATCATTATCAGCATCATCAACCTTATCAGCATCATCAGCCGCCGCCGCATCCGCAGCTTCATCAGCATCATCAGCATCATCATCCGCCTCCGCCTACTCCTCCTCCTCTTCCTCCGCTTCATTCTCCACCTCATCCTCCACTTCCGCGTCCTCATCCTCCCCCTCATAATCAGCATTATCACCATTACAACAGCATCATCATCACCACCACCACCATCATCAGCATCATCATCATCATCAGCATCAGCATCAGCATCAGCATCAGCATCATCATCATAATAATAATAATAAGAAGAAGAATCATCATCACAAGCATCATCAGCATCATCGGCATCCTCATCAGCAGCAGCATCACCATCAGCATCAGCATCAGCATCACCACAATCGGCACCTAATCAGTATCATCAGTGTCATCATCAGCATCAGTATCATCATCATCATCCTCATCCTCATCCTAACCCTCTTCATCAGCATCATCATCATCATCAGCATCATCAGCATCACCATCAGCCTCATCATCATCGGCATCAACAGCATCATCATCATCGTCATCAGCAGCATCAACAGCATCAGCATCATTGTCATCATCATCAGCATCACCATCAGCATCATCAGAATCGGCATCAGCATCAGAATCAGCATCATCAGCAGCAGAATCGTCAACATCAGCATCAGCATCAGCATCATCATCAGCATCAGCATCAGCACCAGCATAGTCATCATCACCATCATCAGCAGCATCATCAGCATCATCAGCATCACCATCAGCAGAAGGAGCATCACCATCAGCATCATAATCCTCATCATCAGCATCATCAGCATCAGCATCATCATAATCAACATCATCAGCATCAGCATCATCATCGCCATCAGCCGCATCATCATCAGCAGCATCATCATCAGCGTCATAGCCATCGACATCTAAGTCATAGTCACGATCATCAGTACGATCATCATAGGCACCATCGTCATTATCACCATCAGCAGCATCATCAGCATCAGTATCATCATCCTCATCCTCATCCTCAGCAGCAGCATCATCAGCATTATCAACATCAGCATCGGCAACATCATCAGCCGTGTCATCATCATTGCCATCATCATCATCATCATCATCATCATCATCATCATCATCAGCAGCAGCATCATCAGCAGCGTCAGCAGCAGCATCATCGTGAAAATCGGCATCATCACCATCATCAGCAGCATCATCATCAGCATAAGCGTCATCAGCATCAACATCAGCATCAATGTCAGCATCAGCATCAGCAGTCGCATCAGTCTCATCATGTTCATCCTCATCCTCATAATCCTCATCATCATCAGCATCATCATCAGCATCATCATCAGCATCATCATCAGCATCATCATGGTCAGCATCCTCATCATCATCATCAGCATCATCAGCATCACCATCATCAGAATAAGCATCGGTATCAGCATCATCAGATTCAGCATCATCAGCATTTCCAGCATCGACATCGTCATCATCATCAGCAGCATCATCATATTCAATCGTCATCGTCATGGTCATCATCATCAGACTCATCATCATCATCAGCATCATCAGCAGCATCATCATCACAGCATCATCATCAGCATCATCAGCATCGTCATAAGCACCATCATCATCATCATCAGCATCGTCATTATCAGCGTCGTCATCGTCATCATCATCGTCATCATCCGCAGCAGCAGCATAAGCATCAGCATCAGCGTCGGCATCATCAGCAGCATCATCATCAGCAGCATCATCATCATCAACAACATCAGTATCATCATCCTCATCATCCTCTCCTCATCTTCACGACCAGCATCATTCCCACCACCACCATCATATCCTCATCATCAGCACCATCATCATCATCATCGTCGTCGTCGTAGTCGTCGCCGTCGTCATGACTCATCTCACTCTCATCATCATTAGCATCAACATCATCACCACCACCACCATCACCACCATCATCAACAGCATCCATCATCAGCCACATCTTGATTAGCAGCAGAAGCACCAGCAGCAGCAGCGTCAACACCCTCAGCATCAGCATCATCATCAGCATCATCGTCATCAGCATCACCATCAGCCGCAGCAGCATCATCCGCTTCATCATCAGCAACATCATCACCATCAGCAAAAGAACAAGAAGAAACAAGACCATCATCAATCGCAACACCAGCATCATCAGTCCCGTCATCATCAAGTCAACCACCAGCACCAACGACACAACAATCGCATTATCGTTGATGAATATTGGGTTTACAATAGTTACTGTAAATCCTCCTCCTCATCCTCATCCTCCTCCTCCTCCTCTAGAAGGCTCCCGATCCCCCTCCTCCTCCGCAACAGCAGCAGGAGCGGCGTTCCATGAGCTTCTTCGTGTCGGCCAACCACGAAGTGACGGCCTTCTCCGCCGCCTTCAGAGCCGCAGCGCCCGCCTTCTCCGCCGCCTTGGCGGCGTCGAGCGCGGCGTCTGCGTCAGCCTCGGAGGGCGCTGTGGGGGGCACAGATCCTTCAAATCATGGCCCGAGGCAGATGTGCGGCCCAGAGGGGAGGGGTCAAGAGACGCATTGAAATAAGAAGGGGCGCCGTGAAATCAGAGGGAGAGGTATCATGGCCCTGGCCATGATACCCACCCCCTGATCATCACCTCCCTTTAAGCCCAGACCGATTCCCTTGACACGGGAAGACTTGCACACTGTCTCTGCCAGGATGTCGCCAACGCCCCAGCGGAGATGGGGTCGGCATTTAACCTTCTTTCGGGGCAAGGCTTGACGGGTAAGACTTCGATAACGGCGAATCTATCCGTATCGCGATCCCGCGGATACGCGATTCTGGGGCGCGATCCCCTCGCGGACGGGATTCTGGGGCGCGATCCCGCGGATACGCGGCCGCAGAGAGGCGATCCGCGCGGGGCATCCGCAAATAAACGCCCCGTATCCGACGGGTCGCGGCCCAGGGGCCTGGCCCGCGAGGGCGCGGGTATGGATCATGTGGCAATTCACGGGAGCCTCCGATGCCATCTTACTCGCTCTTGCGAATCGACGCTAACCGACGCCATTCGACGCTAAAGTACGCTAATCGGCGCTAAATCGACGCTCATCGACGCTACCTCGGCGCTAAACCGCACGCCCATGCACACTCTAGCGACGGCTTTTCGAAGACACACAAGGCGCCCATTAGCTGCCGTTTGCCATGAGGCTGTATATGGGGGGAAGGGGGGGCGGAGGGAGGCACAACGCAACGCGCCCGCCCCCCATCGTGACAGGCTGCGGTGCTGGACGCACTGCAGCAATGCCGGGGACGCACCTGCGGGGGATGTCACGTCATGGAGGGGAGAGGGAGGGAGGAGGAGAGGGGCATCACGCGCGCTCTGGCCCGGAGGGCTGAACATCTTGATTCATCGGCGGCTTTGGAGCGGACACGTCACACTCGAGCTGGGCGCTGGGCACACGGCTGACGAAGTGGGCACAGGGGGCGAGAAGCCAAGGCAAGGGCATGGGGGGGGAAGGGCACGGGCAGGAGGAGGCCGTGCAGGTACAGCAGGAGGTCGCGGCCACGAGGGCAAAAGAGCACTGACGAATACGAATATGTTCTTCGCCTTCGAGACCCAGCTGTAGGCGCGGCGTCGCCAGACCAGAGGCCTGAGAGCCCCCGCCCCCCCCCCCCCCCCAAAAAAAAGCGGTATCTCCGCCAGCGCGCGGAGCGCGCCTCGCTGGCGCCCTTCTCGGATGTTGCTGGAAGTGCCCCTGGCCCAAGATGTCCCCAGGATCTTCAAGGAGGCCCCCAGTGCCTCCAGAGCACCCCTCACGAGGCCCAGAGGGCCCCAGGGGCTCCAAACTTGAGCGCACACCTGGGTGAGCCTTCATTGGAGCATCTGTGGACCTCCGCGGCCCTATCACAAACGTAACTTCGACCGAGTTTCGCGCAGATTTCAACCAGATGTCGTCCAGATTTCGTCCAGAGTTCGCCCAGATTCCGTCCAGATGTCGTCCAGATGTCGACCAAATCCGACGACATCCAGACGAAATGCCTAAAACCGCAGTGAAATGTTGAACCCGCTTCCATGAAGGACCAAAGCACAGGGGGGATAGGAAGGAGACAGCTCTTCTTGAGAATCTGGCAAGTTCTCTTGCATGGCGGGCGGGGGGGAGGGGCGTGGTGAGGCCCGAAAGGAAATCTGGCCTTCACGCAAGTCGGGACTTACTTGCAGGCCATTTCGGGCCAGCGCTGTTGGAAAGGTGGCGGAGGCGATGGGAGGGAATGCCATGCAAGGAAACTTACCTGAACCTACAGAAATCGTCCTCATAGGAAGCCATCTCACGTGACTGGGTTTCCCAGCGCCTCCCGGCGCTGGAGGCGGCCATTCATCGATAGAGGAAGAGAAAATAGACAACGGCATAAACAGAGACCTTCGCAGGTCCACGCGGATTTCTTAGATCGGCGCTGGAGCCCCTTGGCGGCGCCTCCGGTGCCGCCCCTGGCGCGCTCCGCGCGCGCGCGCTCCGCGCGCTAAGAATCGAGTAGAGGATCGACTACACATTGACGTACCCCCAATTTGATGTAATCGTCGAATCCGCGAACAAACACGTATAATGTCCCGCAGATCTACGGTTTCGTAGACTCGATGCAAAAATCTGCTCTGAGGTCAACGACTTCTGCAGTCGATCTCATACTCGAACGAAGTGGGGTCCAGCGCCGATCCAAGAAGTCCGCGCGGCCCTCCGAAGGATTCCTTCTGCATCATGTGTGTCGCTCGTCGTGCGTCGAGAGGTGGCCATGCATCGAGGAAGGCGCCCAGCAGCGGGGCCGAGGCCAGCTGGATGCAGCAGACGTTGTGCCACCCCCGCCCCTTTCCTGCGCATCCCCCCCCCCCCCCTCGAGCCTCAGGGACGGCCCTGAGCTCAGGCAAGGGTGGCATTTGGTTGGCGGCCTGCTGGAGGAGGAGGAGGAGGAGGAGGAGGAGGAGGAGGAGGAGGAGGAGGCTGGTCCTTGCACACGAGGCGACGGCAGCGGCCCGCGCGCCACCCCCCGCGCGACCCCGCAGGCCGCGCATAGAGGGTCGCTCCAACGACGGGCTACTCTTGCGCGTGCACCCGACACTCACCCGAGACCATCTTGGACGCTTCAGCGTCTCGCGAACGGCCCCGTCCAGACCCAGGGGGAGGGGGTGGCGGGCGGGGTAAACCCCCTGGCTTAGCGGCGAACCGGGGTCGGCCAGGGCCACGTCCCAACTCCTCCTCCGCCTCCTCCTCCTCCTCATCCTCCTCATCCTCATCCTCATCCTCACCCTCATCCTCCTCCTTGTCCTCCTCCTCCTCCTCCTCCGCCTCCTCCGCCTCCTCCGCCTCCTCCGCCTCCTCCTCCTCCTGCTCCTCCTGCTCCTCCCCTCCTCCTCCTCCTCCTCCTCCTCCTCCTCCTCCTCCTCCTCCTCCTCCTCCTCCTTCCCCGACGGGCCACAAGTGTAGGAAAACGGCGCTCATGCACCGAACCACGTCTGGACTCCATCCAGGCCTCGCTCCAACGCGGTACGATGCACAGTTGTTTGGATCTGAGGGCCGAAGAACTATGTACCGTACCTGGGGGAACCAAAAGGTACTGATGCCGCTGCTCCCCAGATCTCTCCTGGGGTGCGTTCTGGCCGGAAAGTCGAAGCGAGTCCAGCGGTGGCGACCGAGGGCATCCCAGGAGGCCCAAACATGCGAAAACGAGGCAAGGGTACTGTATCGTTCCTCCTCTGAATACCATTCCTGGGTCGGAAATCGACGCCGCCTCGGGAGGCGCCAACGCAGTACGGTGCAGCACAGGTCGCCCGCGGAAATACCTAGCTCCCAAGCCCTGGGCAGCGGAGGGAGGGGAAGGAGCATTCGGCCCCGCGCGGCTCCCGAGCGGCCGGGTCGGCAAGAGGCGAGGGGCTGACCCCCGTCAGCGCCGACCACCTGCGAGCTGTCGGGCCATAACTCGGGCGTCGGGCGGCTGCTCGAAATGACTCACGCAGCCCTGGAGCGCTCTCGACGAGGCGCAGCTGACGGAAGGCGCCACAGGCCCCGGAGAAAGAGAAGAGGCCGATCGTGTCAATGCTCGGCCCGGAGTCAGGCGCAACTGTGATAGACCTCCAGCATCACTGCTGGTGAGTGAAAACCGCGCGAAGTCGTATCCGTGCTCAAGAAAGTCATTGGCCCCGAAGATGTAGGAACTTTAAGGAACAGGCATACAAACAAACTTTCGGAGCTCCGCGCGGATTTCTCGAAACTGCGCTGGACTCCCCATCCCTGGTGCGCGAAGCGCGCCAGAGGCGGCGCCAAAGGCGCTGCCAAGGAGGTTTCAGTGCCGATCCAACAAAGCCGCGCGGAGCTCCGAACGTCTGGGTTTATGCCATGATTTCGAGCATCGTTTAACCGATCCCTATCCCCACTGGCGTGGCCTTGACCCCACTGGTTACCTTACCCCTAGGTGGGGATGCACGCTATTCCCATTCGGGTTTCGTGGGACCCATCCACATCCTTATTGAAGGGTGGGCCGGTGGGACTGAGATCCCATGGCCCAGTGAGGATGAGGATAGGTTAGACGATGCTAAGCTTCCGGGGGCTCAAAACCGTGAGGTGGCGGACCGCGTGGCGATCTCAGAATCCAAGACGACCTCACCGCGCCGTCCGTCACCACCGACTCACCAAGCGGCGTGGTCACCACACCGTTTGGGGGCCCCCAAAAGTTTTCTTCCTCGAGAGAATCGGCGACTCCGAAGGGTGTGGCTTGCAGAATGTGCGGCTTGCAACTGGCACCCTGGGCGGAACCCTGGGGGGCGGGCGAGGACCTCGACGGAGCTTTCCGCCGCACCCCAGGGAGGCCTGTCGATGATAGCGTCGTGTTCCCCAGGCCCCAACGGTGCCGATCGCAAACCAGACCCTGACGCAACCGTGCCCTTGGCAGTCGCCGAGAGAAGTCCCCGGGCCGCCACCGCCGTGGCGTCGGAGGCCCCCCAAAAGAGGGCCTTGTGCTTCGCCGCCTCCTCGAGGGCGGCCTTGGCTGCGCCCACGGCCTGGGCCCGCGCCGCCTTGGCGGGCTCACCCTCCTGGATTTTCCCGGCCAAGTCCTGGGGGGAAGGGGAACGGGGGGTGGAAGGGAGAGAAGGGAGGGCAGACAGGCAGCAAAGGGCCGTTTGAGGCACCGGTAGTTGATTTTCGGCGGGGTTCCTCGTCGCCGCGGCTGGTCGCACCTCGGAACACTGGTGCATTTCGACCCCAGGAAGGGTCTGGGGACCAATGTTGTGCCGATCTTGGGTTACCAATGTCTCTACTCGCCGTTTTTCCGAAAGACGGGATGGGAGAGGCAACCGAGGTGCGCTCGTGCACATCTGACATGCAACCCCTGGCGCACACAGGGCGGGGATTCGCACAACATCGAACATCCGCTGACACGGTGGGCATTCATAGTCGTCGCCGATGGCGACTTGATCATGACCCCCTGTTCCCGATTCGTCTTGATCTTCTTCGTCGCACGGATTGGGATAGTCCGCCTTTTCTGGGTTTTCATCGGGGAGGTCGGTCCCGTACGCGGTGGCATACGCCCCTGCACTCGTCCGCGCATCATCTGGTTGCACGATCGCATGGACACCTTCTTGCGCAGGGAACCGAATATTGTTCGGCTCTCCTAGCATTGGTCGAGAGATTGACGATCCCCGTGGCCCGTGATAACGCCAGCGCGAGGAACCTCCCTAACTGTTGGGGTCCATGACTGAATCACTGTTTTCTCTCTCGGTGGTGAAAGCCTGACAGAACTTGCCGACAGTCGTTTCTGGGAAGCTCCGGTTTGCGAGGTCGATCAAACTCTGCGAACTCTGCGCCCCCACTGCCAACCGAATTGCAACTGCGATGGAAGGTGTCATCTGGCCCATCGCAAGAGATATCACCCTGCTTCCTTTCGGTGCTCTCAGAGCTTTCGGCTGATAGCATGTTCTTGGCTAGGTTGTCTACACGATCTGCATAACAGTCCGCACAATGTGATATATCTTCTCCGAATTATCCTAGCTCGGGGGGTCTCTTCGAGAAGACCTTGTGCATGATATGTCCCGTTCGTGTTGATTGCTGAAATTGCGGCGATGCGCGCGCGGATGCGGGCGCACTGGTTTCCGTCTGCACGGACGCGAGACGCGCTCCGAAGTCAGGTTCGCCGACCGCCTCCTTTGAAGTGTAAAAGACTTTAGCCAAACGCCCGCAGCGACAGGTGGGCGGGTGATCATATGACGCAGGCAGGAGTAAACGTTATCGACTGAGAAGAAACGAGAGGAGTGGGAAGAGGAGGGAGGGGGAAATATGAAGGGAGAGAGGTGAAAGGGGAAGCGTCAACCTCCTTGACCTTCCCTGCAAGCTCCACGAGGCCTTGCTGGGTAGGGACGTTGGAACACCACAACTCATACTTGTCCTCGTTCGCACCATGTGATCGCTGACTCCTCCTCCTCCTCCTCCTCCTCAGCAGCAGCAGCATCAGCAGCATCCTCATCAGCAGCAGCAGCAGCAGCATGGCCATCATCCTCAACCGCATCAGTATGCTCATCAGCGCCACTACCACCACCATCATCAGCGTCATGATCATCCACATCACCCTTATCACCATTGCCATCATCATCACCATCAGCATCGCCAGCATCAGCATAGTCAGCAGCCGCATCACCATCAACAGTGTCAGGATACGCATCAGAATCATCAATAGCATCAGCATCATCATCAGCAGCAGTATCGCCAACATCACCATACGCATGATCAATCGTACGATTGGCAGCATCATCATCATCATCATCATCATCATCATCATCATCATCATCATCATCATCATCATCAGCATCATCATCATCATCATCATCCGCGTCATCATCGTCAACATCAACATCCGCATCAGCGTCATGACCCGTAGTATTGTTATAAGAACATGATGATGGTTATTGCGAGTACGAGTTGTATGTGATCAACATCACCCGCATCACTAGCATGAGCAGCATGAACAGTAGCATCATCAGCAGCAGTAGCAGCGGCGTCGTCGTAATGGCCAGCATCATCGCCATGATCATCTCATCACCGAAATCATTAGCCCCACCATCATCACCACCCCATCACCATCGTCAACATCATCAGCAACGCCCCATATGTCCTCCTCGTCTGATGTATCCCACAGCATCACTATCGCCATCAGCCACATCATCCCTCTTCGCCTCCTCATCAACCTTCCCTCTCATCCTCGTCCTCCTCCTCCTCCTCATCATCATCATTCTCCTCCCCCTCCTCCTTGTCGTCCACCGCCTCCCCCGTCGGCTCCTGGACGTGGCTGGTGAACGCTGTGGAGATATTCTCGAAGCTGCTCTCCTCGAAAGCGCTCCGCGCCTCCTTGGGCTTCTTGGCGCCCTCGGCGAGAACAACGAGCATCGTGTTGTCAACCCCGAGCTCTTTGCCGAGCTTCAGGACATCCTGGGGAGGCGAATTGAGGAGGGAGCAGGAGGAGGACGAGGGTGCATTGCGATGTGGACCGCTGCCAGTCCAGCTGTCGGCGAGATTGCCACGCAAGTAGGGAGGAGGAAGAGGGGAGGCAGAGGGAGAAGGAGGACAGGGAAGGCAAGAGGACGCGGAACGCGATTCAGAGGAATTGGGGCTGGAGGAGTATCGTGTGTTTTGTTATACGGTGATGGTATCCGACCCACGGCAGCGCAGGTGAACAATCGATGCCGACCCACGCAACAGTAGTCAGAGAGCTGCGCGCGGAGACCTGGAGGACAGAGAGGGGCGATACGAATCAACCCTAATGCGAGTCAACCCTAATACAATTCACCCTTACTTGAGTGTAGAGGTGCACGGCGTGCTTGCTCTTCGGATCGCGGGGGGGGGGGCGAGCATCGCCAACCCCCCCGACCTTCGAGCCCCCGCACCCCCCCCCCTCTCCCCCCAGGAGGCCGCGGACACCCCATGGCTGGGCCCCGCCAGGCTGCCCCCGTCGGTCAGGAGGAGGAGAAGAGAAACGCGGCGGCGCTTCCTGGCCTCGAAACAGCCACCACGCGAGTGGCGTCAACTAGCATCGCGTGGGCGGGAGTCCCTCACTGCGGCTCGTGGGAGCAGCTCAGAATCTACAAGTACAACGAATCGAATGCACGCAACAACAATGGGAGCTCGACCATAAGAAACCTTCCACAGAAAAAAACAACCGTGAGACCCCGGGACGTCCCTCGAATTTCGGTGTGGGAACGTCACGATTTCCATCGCAAAACCATCGAAAACCAAGACACCCAGGGCACCCTGGAAGCAAGCAGGGTGTTTCTTGGCATGGGTTTCCACTGCAGTCTGCAGTCGGTCGTAGGTGAAGGTGATGAGAGCGTCGGATCTCGCGCGATGGACTCGGTACATAAATAACGCACGTCGGCAGGGCTTTTGGACCAGTGCACAAGGGGAGCAAGGACAGGAGGAGAACGAGGAACAGCAGCGGGGGAACATGCTGAGTCGAAGGGGAGG